CTCTTTCCGTCTCAACAGGCGTGATGAAGAAAGCAATACTGCGACAACAGGGAAACTGAGGCATGGGCGTACCCAGCAGCCAGTGGTACCGCAGGACTTGAACCCCTCCAGTCTCACCCTAATGTCTTCTCCAGCAGGACTATTTTCTGTCACTGCTATACCCAAAAGCAGAGATTTCTTCAGATCTTTCAATCCCATGAAGGACAGAGATTTAACAGCGCATTCCCCCGACACAACCCCACTCACCTTTTTATCCAGTTTTCTGCCGGCCATGCTCAGAGTTATGACCCTGTTATCCGAGAGCTCTTGGGCAGCTATCTGAAAGACAAAGGGAGGTTGCATTCATTCTCAGCACAAAGAGAAAGTGGACACCAAGGCAGAGGAGAGTCCAGACCCTGAAGATACCTGCACAGCTCCTGCAGAACCCATTTCCCAGCTAAGAGACTGGACGAGCTGACGCACGCAGTATTTCACTGCAGAGGAGTGAAGCTGATTTCACCTGTGCAGATCAATTTGGGACCAAAGCTCACTTCCCAGCTTCTCCCCAGAATGTAGAATGATGGAGAAAAAGCCCAGACTTCCCCTGGGTGGGCACTGCCATTTACCCTGCACCGCGGCAGTGACACGCCGGCTTTAAAACAAAACAGGGTATGTTTTTTCAGCAGGCTGCCAGCTACGATGCCGGTGCTGCAGCTGGAGAGGCCATGACATCCACCAAACTCATCGCTGGGGCTGGGCCCACATGAAACACGTTCGTTTGCAGGGCTGGGAGTCAACAGGTACGATTAAGCCTCATGAACAGACAACCCGAAGAGAGAATGAGGTGCTAGGACACCCCACGCAGCCTCCCTCCCCGGTGCCATCAGATCTAAAACGAAGCTTACTGGGAACAAACTCATCCCTTTTCTTGGGTGTCACACCTGAGCTGGTCTCAGGTGGCTTTTCATGCGCCAGGACCCGGGGAAGCCTCCAAGGACCAAGCCAAAAGGAAGCAGGAGCCATAAAAACCCTTGCCAGCAAGATGTGCCACCTTGCCCTCCGTGTCCCAGGCTGCCCCATCCCTTGGGGGAGATGCAGGCAGCACCAAGGGCTCGAGCCACATCTCTGTACGACCGCCCCCCCAGCCAGCCCCAAGAATGAAAACTCCACCGTCACTCCTGAGGAGCGACAGCAGGCAGGAGTGCAGCCCGGATTGCTTCACTTTAGGGGACTTTATTCACATACGCTCCAGAAGGGCTTCGGCTGCCAACCACCAGTGGGCCGGTTTTGTCTGGAATGTGGTCTAATGAGTCTCATGATATTTTAAGAAAGGGAATGTTTGTAACAAAAAAACCATATTTATTCACTTCTGTTACCAGCATGGAGCGACAGCAGGCAGGAGTGCAGCCCGGATTGCTTCACTTTAGGGGACTTTATTCACATACGCTCCAGAAGGGCTTCGGCTGCCAACCACCAGTGGGCCGGTTTTGTCTGGAATGTGGTCTAATGAGTCTCATGATATTTTAAGAAAGGGAATGTTTGTAACAAAAAAACCATATTTATTCACTTCTGTTACCAGCCGTTTTCTGAATCACTTGTATTTTTTTCCCCCAAGGCTGTGTCCTGCCCAAGCATCTGCTCCCCACGTCTCCCTCCTCCACTCCCTGGGGGGGCTGAGCCATCCCCCGGCATCCCCGGCTGCAGCATCCTCCCCGGGCAGGAGCCAGCACCGGCATGGGCGGGAGCGCGGCGTGGACATCTTCCCCCCGCACGGTGCTGCCAAGCATGGCCATTTGCTGGCTCTCGCAAGGAGGCCGTCCCTTCACTGGAGATGCGCAGCGTAATTACAGCAAGGCTTTTAGAAAAACTTGCAGAAATCAAGGGAACAATTTTCTGCAGAACAAGCAATCAGAGGGTTATTGGCACTTAGGAGAGCGAGGGGGTTGGAGAGACGAGCAGGCAGAGATGCAGCTTCTGAATCCGCCTGGGCAGCTGGGCGAGGGGACGAGCCGCAGCTCCCCAGCAACCTCCCGGAGCTGGAAGCCTTCATGGGAGCCTTCCCACGGAGGACATCGCTCTTTGGTCCACAGAGGACATATTCACTGCATACAAAGCCCAATTTTTCCCTCTGCCCGGTATATCCATGAAGTCTGAAGTTCCCTGTCGCAAAGCCACGCAATCAGTTTTCTCTCCCACTTGGTCCTCAGTGGCACAGTCACCAAAACCAGCATGAGGAAGAGGAGCTGTAGGGATGGAATTTGCCCTGTGCTGATCCCCACAAAAGCACACCCAGATGGTGTCCAGCATTTTAGGGCTCACTGGAAGTGACATAAAAGCCAGACTGTGCAGACAAGCTGGGTACGTCCTTGTGCCACATTGCCACGGGCTGCTGGTGGCATCTTCTCTTGGCCAGCATGGACAGTAACAACACCCCCACCACTGTGCCTGGCAGAGGCATGTGGCAAGATCTCAGGATTGATTTCTACAAACACAGCAGCTTGCTTTGGGATCTTCCCCATCTCTTCAAACCTTGAGACTCCCACAGGATCCCCTTCATACAGCCAAGGTTCTTCTGTTGCATTCAACCCTGGGGCATCTCAGTTAAGAAAAGGGACACTCGGGCAATGTTGGAGGGGACGGGGCTGAGCAAGGCAGGGTTTGGCTCCAAACTCCATGTTTTATACGAGTGAGTCCAAAGCAGAAACCTGCTCCTTGGTTGGTGTCCATAGCCCATGCTCCACTGCCGTGCCAAGCAGCGAGGAAAGGTGCCCACCGCACTACTTGGTGTTGCCATCACCAAGCCAGGGGAGGAAAAAAAAAAACATCAGAAAATTGCATCAATGGTACAGAGCAAAGCAGACATCTCAGACCCTTCGATTTTTAATGACACGTTAGTGACAGATCAGGGTCTTCCTTTTTTTAAAGCGTGTAACCTTTGAACTTGACTGGACACTTTCCATCTGCTCCAGCTCTTTCCACTCCAGCGGTGGACGGGGTGTCAAGACCCTGCTCCTCGGGGACGGCACACGGCATCGGGCATCGCTCGTGAACTTCACTGCGGCTTCTCCTCTTGCATTTAAAGACGAACTGCAGCAATTAAGAGAAGGCTGGCAGCATCTTCCCAGCCTCTAGAGCAAACAGCGATGGAGATGCCCTTGCAGCAGCCAGGTCCTGGGCTTTTAAACCCTTTCAGTGCTTGCAAACTTGACGGAGGTTGAACTCCTTGCTGGCCTTTTCTTCCACACCTTTGCTGCCCGGCTGCACGTCTCACAAAACCCGTAACACAGAAGAGATCCAAAAAGGAGGGGAGATGTGGCAGGAGGGAAACGCATCTAAATTTAGTCTTTTCTTTTTAAGGAAACCCATCGCTAAAGAGATGCGCAGCGGGAAGGCCACTGCCCGGAGGGGTCTGCATCTGGAGCAGTGACTGTTGCTATGAGAGTTGTTGCTACGGCACAGCTCCTGTCCTCTTCCTACAAACAAAATCACCCATTGCCGGCAAAGGAATCAGCCCTCTTACCTCCCGCTGCTCCAGGGAGGGCTGAGCAGGCGTCTTGTACCAGATAACAAACAGCAGCAACATAGATTTACTTTGTACTTCTCCAGATTGAGGTTTTTGTTATCTCAGAGACCAAAGCAGAGGTTGAAGAATCACAGAATCACAGGACATTAGCGATTGACAGGGACCTCTGTGGGTCACCCAGTCCAACCCCCCTGTCGAAGCAGGGTCACCCAGAGCAGGCTGCACAGGACCGCGTCCAGGCGGGGTTTGGATATCTCCAGAGAAGGACAACCCACAGCCCCTCTGGGCAGCCTGTACCAGGGCTCAGTCACCCTCAGCGTGAAGAAGTTCTTCCTCATGTTCAGATGGAACTTCCTCTGCTTCAGTTTGTGCCCGTTGCCCCTTGTCCTGTCGCTGGGCACCACTGGAAAGAGTCTGGCCCCATCTTCCTGACACTCACCCTTAAGATATTTATAAGCATTTATAAGGTCCCAGAAGATTCACAGTACCAGGCAAGATGGTCCCTGTCCCAAATAAATCATCCTCCAAACAGACCAAAGTGGGCAGGAAAATGGGAGATAAAGGGAAAAGCGTTCATGAGTTAAACCCCAGTCTCCCGGACCCCAGGTGAACATCCTGCGTTGCCCCCAGGTTATTATCCCCCTTTACACACTCAGTAGGGAATGTCAAGGAGCAACCGTACCGTGATCATCCCTTTCCCAGCCGGCTTGCCATTCCCCAGAAGCAGGGTCCTTGTTATTTTCTTGCTGGAGACGATCTAGAGAAGCCAAAGAAAATAAAGCCATGATTGTACAAGTGATCAAAAGCAGACTCATAAGCAACTGATCATTGCTCATGTTAGTTAATTCAGATGAAGCAATCACAACATTAGAAGACAGACATCACACTCAGATTCAGGGGTGACCGCGATCGGGTGACTATCACCGCCGTCACCTGCGCCCGTGAGGCACAGGGCAGCGGCAGCACAAGGGGCTGAAGCATCATCTCCCGCTGAACCCGGGGACCAGCTCTGTGCGTGGAGCAGGGCAGGGGGACCTCACCCAGCCGAAGGACTGTGATTTGGTCCCACCAAAATCACAACTGAACCTTTCAAACTCCATTTTAAATACTTCTAACACGACTCCTGCCAGCTATTTGCTTTCAGGCCATATTTCCATGGACAAATCCTGACACAAGCTGGATGCCCTCCCCGAGCACCACTCCGGACCCCTGCACAGCTGCTGCTGAGCAAGGCGCAGGGGTCAGCACCCCACAAAGGCATGCTCTCCCCTTCAATTCTGGCTTGTAAGAGGCCAGACAGGACAATCTGGGAGCAGAATTAAACCCCTTGAGATTTTTCCCAGCTCACTGAGTTGCGGTCGCCTTCAGATCTGGGGATCCTGTCAGTTTTCCCCATGAGGCGCAGACCCCAACGTGGAGGTCCAGCGACCTGCTGGAACTATCTGTGCTCTGCTCCCACAGCTAGTGGGGACCCCTTCGAGATCATGGAGTTGCAGTTTAAAATGCGCAGTCCCATCCATCCTTCTGCCTCCAATTCTGGTCCTACATCACACAGAAAATAACAACAAGTGAAAAAACCCATGCAATGAAATGGCTTAACTTATTGCTCCTGCCATCCAGATGACCCAGCCACGCCTGGATTCCTCCCACTGCTCCCCAGAAATGTTATCCTCCCTTCAGGGAGACCTTATTGCAGCCTTTCAGTACTTAAAGGGAGCTTATAAGAAAGACGGGGACAGGCTTTTTAGCAGGGCCTGTTGCAATAGGACAAGGGGTAGCAGTTTTAACCTAAAAGAGGGGAGATTCAGACTAGGTATAAGGATGACATTTTTTACCCTGAGGGTGGTGAGGCACTGGCACAGATTGCCCAGAGAGGTGATCGATGCCCCATCCCTGGAAACGTGCAGGGCCAGGTTGGACGGGGCTGTGAGCAATCTGATCTAGTTGAAGATGTCCCTGCTCGCTGCAGGGGAGGTTGGACTGGATGGCCTTTAAAGGTCCCTTCCAGCCCAAAGCATTCTGTGATCCTATGATACTTGCAATTTCAAGGCAAAAACCCTTTCCCATTGTGGCTAGCCAGCTGTGTCCTGGTGTTTTTGATCCATAAATGCATAGGAATCACCAGCCAGTGCAAACAGATGTTTGTGCCACACTGCGGCACCATGAAATCTCCTCGCAACCCTGGCTAGCAGAAACCACGGACACCCTCCAGCCTGCAACTGCATCCCCGTTACACTTCGTTTGGCCACAGAGGTCATTACAGGCCTGCAAACGATCCAACCGTCCTTTTAAATCTTACCACAGACCTAATTAGCTGCAATAAAACAATCTGGCTAATCTGACAGCACTCCAATGCAAAGTCAGAACTGAAAAGCCAGACGCTTGCTGTGTGGTTGTTGCTGCCCGCGGCTGCTCTCCTTCCCTTCTCAGAGCTGCTCATGCCTCAGAACAGGGCAGGCTTATGAAAACTTCTCTTCATACAAAATCCAGCCATGAGAATACCCACCGCAGGGCGGCTGAACCCACCAGCCCCTGGCTGCCCCGTTTCACCTCTCTCCTCACCAGGCACGCCTTGCCTGCATGCTACCTTTCTGCCCACCTCTGTCCCACGACCAGGCTGTGCTGCAAGCCCATGCTGGCCACAGGGAGAGGAGGCTAACAGAGAATTTTGGGAAAAAAGGGGAAAATGAGAAGATGACTCCATTCCAAGCTGGTGTCTCCTTGTGGACTAAAGGTCACCAAGATGCTCACATGGGAACTGCTGCAAACACTCATCAAAAACTGGGCACCCACCTAAGGCAAGTTCTCTTTTGCACAGTGTAAATACTTGCATGATGTTACGGAAGTTCAGAGCTCTCTTTTTTCTGACAAAGACTACCAGCTGTGCCTAAAGACACATCAGACTATTATGCCATGCCCGTCAGCCACCACAGCTAAACCACCAACTGTTCTGAGCAAGCACCTTGGGTGTAAGACCTGGCAGCTGCTGCCTGTCCCCACCATCACCACAGCCCCAGGACGGCCTGTCCAGTCTCATGCTCTCAGCTAGTCACCTTTCCAAGCACCACAAAGGGTCAGGCTCATCTGGGAGACCCAACAAGCAGGAGATAGGTCAGACCCTTCCACCTTCCTCCCCAGCTCACACGGATAACATTCCTCTCTGGCACGAGCCTGCAGAGCACTGCACTGTAGTTAGGTTTCAGCTCTGCTTCCTTACATCCATGGACTCTCTGCTTGCAGCTTCCACCAAGGCCGTGATCTTCACAAGAAGCATTGCTGAACTGCCCCACACTGACTGTGGCTGTGTTTCAGCAATGAAACTAAGAGTAGAGGATGAGTTTGGTCTAAATCACAGAACACCAGCCTGGGCAGTTGCCCGCACTGTCTCTTAACTTCTGCAGGAGCAGAATTAGGTCATCATAGAGCACTTCCAAAAACCCAGACGTTAAACATCAAACTCTGTAAATGTCAGTGCTCCTCTAACGCGTCAAGCTCTTGAGTTGGCAACGGTGAGGTCACTCGGCCCCCCTTGCCATGTGCAGTGCCGTACTGCAGTCTGTGCAATAAAATGATTGCATTCTTGAGCCTCCCTGAACACCTCGGGCTGGATGTCAGTGTCGATGCACCTATCACAGCATCTCCTTCCTCCCGGGTCCCAGCACTGAGCACAACAGACAGTTTCTCACAGCCCCTGTGCTTGTGCCAGGTACCACAGCAGCACCCAGCAGCCGGATGCTGTGAAAGAATGGAAAAAATCCCCCTCATTCCTTGCCTCCGAGTCAGAGCAAGCTCAGAGGACTAAGACGTTCAGAGAACGTAGCTGCCAACTTCTAACAGGGTCTGGGCTCATGAACGTAAAGACCTTCCAAAGGCTTATAAATCGTGTTGTGTCCTGAAAGCTCTTTCACAGAAAGAGCAGAAGACGCACTTCTGCACCAACATGCTAAAGGATGAGAGATGATTTGCTACACAACAGCAATGAACAAAGCTTTCAAAAAAAAAACCCTCAAAAAACCACAAAAACCGAGACAGAAATGTAGACCGCAATGCATCCTAACTTTAAACACCTGGCAATTTCCCAGGTCCAAATCCAAGCTGGTGATCAGGGCTCTTACTAGAACCCATGATGAGATACAGGTTCCTTCCATCTGATGTCTCTCTGCAGGCACCAGCAGAAGCTATGACTAGCTTAGACTTGAGCAAGTAGCCAACAGCCCTAACGTGGAATAGTTCAACCTCAACAGCTGAAGTGTGACAAGCAAATTAAATTCGTTTCGCCAGGAAGGACCCAGCAAACTTTACAGTAGATAAGAGCAGCAGCTCTAATGCCCCCTTGTCCCTCTGGCTGACATGATTTGGGGTCCATTTGCTGGAGGACAGTGAGCTGCAGGGACCTCAGAGACTCACCATGCCCAGCGTGCAGGAGAATTCGCCCAGGAAGTCATGCTCATACAGCTGCATGCTCGACTTGTCCTGGTCAAACAGGGCAAACTTGAGCTTCTGCACTTCTTCAAAGTGGTAGTCAATGATGAACTTCTTGGCGAAAGCTGGGTTGAGGTTGTTCACGGCAAAAAAAAGAGGCATTTAGGCATGTGCATCTTGCATCTTTGTCACTGCTGCGTCTCTTCTCTGACTTCAGCCACAGTCACCCAGAAACGCTGCAGTGACCAACAGAGAGCGAGAGCACCGGGCATTCAGCAGAACGATCCCTAAATGCAGGCCATAACACCCAGTCTACGCAAGGTGAGATCCGTTTAAATGAGTAACGACACTCCATGCAGAGAGCTGCATCCCTGAGGACGGCGAGCACGGGGCTGTGCGACCCCCCCCCAGCCAACAGCCAGGACAGGAGCGCCCACCTAGCCAGGCCTTGCTGTGGACTCAAGGCTCGCTGAAGCCAGAGTCTTTGCTGGCTTCTAACCCTTGTTCTCCCAGGAGCTGGTGCTCTCGCACGCCTCCGATCCTCAACTAGCCACTCGCAGCTGCAATGCCAAACCTGTTTCTTCCAGGCTGTGCAGCTGAAGGCAAGGACAAGCAAAAAGAAAAAGCATCACGAGATGGAACAGCAACCCTCTAGCATTTCCCTCTAGGCATCAACCCAAAACATTCATGTGGTTTCTTCTTCCTTGGCATTCCATGGAAAAAAAAGGGCGAAAAAAGTAAAATCACTGCAGGCCATTTTTCATAGATTTTGTCAAGCATTAGGAGAAACAAGAGTCTGCAAGGACCCAGAAGACAAGACCTCAACAGACTTTGTCATCCTGAGCTACTGGGAGCAGGCTGGAAGAGATGATGTCTCGGACGGCTTGGAAGAGCAAGCGCAGGGGATGATGGAAACTGGAAGGCGCGTGGGGAACCCACCGTCGGAGGGGAAGCACCAAGGCGGTCAGCAGCATCCCGCAGCCAACAGCAGCGACAAGAGCAGAGGAAACTGGGCAGGCATCCAGTGGAAGTGTGGATTTACGACGCAGCGTGGCACAGGCAGACAGAAAGCCTTCCATGAGCCTAAAAATAAATCCTGGGGACAGCCACGCTGGAGATCCCAAGATGCTGCCCTCCGGTCGTGGACATTTGGTCCCAGACCCCCTAACTCAGACCGCAGAAGGGCTGGGAGGACAGCAGCACCAGCCAGGCTCCCAATGCAGGCTTGCACAGAAACAGCAACCCACAATTTTAGCCCAAGTGGCAGAAACTGGGAAAAAGAGGCCAAAAAAAGCTTGCTTCTGGAATTCAGTGGCCAAGGAGGGTCTGAACTCTAACATCACGACCCACAATCCCTACCAGGCCATCCTCCATCCCGAGAGGCACCAGGAAAGGGCACGTTTGGAGCCCAACATACATCTTCATGAAGCTAAAACAAGCGGAAAGAATGCTGGTGGCACAGCCTGAGTGCTGAACAAGAAACAAACACCCGCAGCCTGGGGGGAAACCCTCCGGCAAGCAAGCCAACCAGCAGCTCTGTCAAGAGAGCAGCTATTGATATCGTACTGACATCGTCAGGGGTGGCAGCCGGTTCGGTGAAGGGCGTCCTGCCCAGGCAGCCCTGTGGGAAGGACCAACGGCTCCAAACATCTGAGCTGGAACAGTCATGTGTCTGCTGGAGCCCAGCATCGGCTTTTTGCCACTTTGCCCTGTTATCCCAGGATAGGGTAACAGGGGCTGTTAAAGGAGACAGGCAGGCAGGCACTCGCCAGCGTGATTTTATCAAAAGCTGCTGCCCTTGGTGACTGGAATCATGGAATCACAGAATCATTAAGGTTGGAAGAGACCTCTAAGATCATCAAGTCCAGCCATCACCCCAACCCCACCACGCCTGCTAAACCATGTCCCCAAGTGCCACACCCACACCTTTTCTGAGCCCCTCCAGGGATGGGGACTCCACCACTGCCCTGGGCAGCCTGGTCCAACACCCGACCACTGAAAAAAAATGTTCCTGATCTCCAATCGAAACCTCCTCTGATACAACTTGAGGCCATTTCCCATCATCCTATCGCTGGTTATTTGGGAGAAGAGACCAACTCCCGCCTCACTACACCCTCCTCTCAGGTAGCTGCAGAGCGCGGTAAGGTCCCCCCTCAGCCTCCTCCAGACTGAACAGCCCCAGTTCCTTCAGCTGGTCCTCATCAGACTCGTTCTCTAGACCCTTCACCAGCCTTGCTGCTCTTCTCCGGACACTCTCCAGCCCCTCCATGTCCTTTTTGTGGTGAGGGGCCCATCCCATCTGCCTGCGGGACAGCACAGAGCCTCCGGCCACGCTGCAGCCCTGGCCAGCATCCCGCCTCATCTCGCAGCCAGGACACCCGGTCCCGGGCAAGGCTGAGCCGCCTACACATCCCAGGTCCTAGGGCAAGACCTCTGCCGAAAGCAGGCTCTGCGCCAGCATCCCCAGGCAGCACCAGGCTGCGGGATGGTGGGATGTCTGCCAGAGCTGCGGAGCCAAGAATAAGTACAGCAGAGCAGAAAAAATCCCCCCAAAAAAGGAAATAAAAAAAAAAAGCAAACACAGACCTTAGTCCCAGAGAAACTCCTTCAGCACATGAGGCAGGTTTTGGAAGGACCAAATGGAAATGTGGTGAGATTGCTATGTATACCAGCTATCGCAGTGGTTTTTTGAAGTTCGTCAGTTAGTCTGTCTTAATTGCCACGAGACGACTGAAGTAAATGCTGCGTTCCCAGAATAGCCACCTGCTGCTCTCCGGGGAATCAAACACATCGACACCAGCGGGCTGTAAGCTGGCTGGGGCCATGCAGCTTCATGCAGATCTTTCCCTCTGTGCCGCCATCCCGTACCACAGGGCACCGGACGTCTGCTCAGAGATGTGGTGGACCAGAAGCAGTGGGCATCCATGAGCTCCACCTTATTTCAGCAGCACAACACAGGCAAATCCTCTTTCCAGCCCAGGAGACGAGACTGTGCAGGCAACAGAGATGGATTTTAGCTCCTTCCATGTTCTCTGAACTACTAGGAAGCTGGGGACCAAGGCAAACCAGTCCTCTCACTTGCAGGCACCAGTTCAAAGGAGGTAACTTCAGGTCTCATGACCAGCTTTGCCTTGGAAAGGGTGGCCCAGGGAAGGGGAAGAAAAACCCAGCCAATGTGTCTTGAGCTAACCCTTGGGAGCAATGGGGCTTCCTCCAACACCCAGATTCAGCTGAGTCTTTAATCTCCTGCCTATTGTCAGTGTGAAGCCCAACAAAATCACAAGCCCCAGCTGACTCCTGCACATGGTTTGGCTTTTGGTTTGATGAGCACCAGTCACCTTGCCAGCGACCATCACGTATGAGGCCTCTTCCACCCCCTCCACCAGTAGACAAGCACCCCATCAGCTCCTGCCTTCCCCTTCGCCCCCAACACTTACGGATCTGTGTTCCCTGGGAAAAGCAGAGGTGGCTTTGCCACCTAAGAGCAGAAAAACACAAGGGTATTTAAGAGGCAATCAAGCTAATTAAAGATTTCTCTTTGGACAAGGGCCTTGATTCTACAAAGCAAGCATGAAACAGGGAAATTGTCTCCAGCGACAGCCCCTATGTTCAATGAACGCAGCCGGAGAGTCCTCCAGTGTCCAAAGGGAGGTTGGCCAGAGACCTTCAAGCATCCCCAGCACATGGAGATGCTTGGTCCTCCAGCGCTGGGAGATGCTCTCCCAGGCACCAAGGCAAGCTCATGCTGAAGGCGCGGGCCGGCCGAGTGACTCAGAGTGGCACAAAGGCAGCAGCACAGCTGAGTCATGTGTCCCTGTTCCCAGCATCACCGGCCAGGTCTTTCACGGCTCCGGCGAGGTGACATCACCAGGCAGAACTTTTAAACATCACCCATCTTCATGTCGCTCCTCAGCATGTGGTTTATTGTCCCTCCCTCCCCCAGTCTCTCCAAGGCTGATTCACAAAGATTTGTTAATTCCTATTAAGCTCAGTGAGACAAAATAATTGCATTTGGGAACAAATGTGACAGCTAGAAAGAACAGCGAGCAAAAGCCTTTCTTGTCAGCATCAGCTGGTGCCGCAGCCCTGCTGCGGCTGGGGCTGGTTCTGGAAGAGGGGACCCTCATCCTGCACCAGCTCGGACGGCGGGGACACGTTGTTAACCCAGTGCAGAGGACGCAGGGCAGTGCGGTGGGATGGGTTCATGCCTCTGAGAGGCTGCTGTCCTCATCTGTCCCCTGCATTTCAGCTGTGCTATTAAGGCCACCACTTTCAGATGGGAAAAGTCCTTTCGCAACAGGCACTTTAAAAAGCTTGCCCCCCATCTTTACTGAAAGAGTGGTCAGACATTGGAACAGGCTGCCTGGGGAAGTGGTGGAGTCCCCATCCCTGGAGGGGTTCAAAAAACATGCGGATGTAGCACTTTGGGACATGGTTTAGCAGGCGTGGTGGGGTTGGGGTGACAGTTGGACTTGATCTTATAGAGGTCTTTTCTAATCTATGTTTCTATGATTCTTAGAACAAGGGGCATGTCTGCATGGCCAGAATCCATGCAGGACCACGCAGGCACCGTGGCTCTGAACTGTGGTGGCGTGGGCTGCCAAGGGTCCACCAAGTGCCCCATACAGCAGGGCTCTCGGGGGAAAGCCCACATCTCCTGGCCCTCCCCAGCACCCAGCCAGGACCCAGGCACTGCTCCCACCATGCATGGGCGCGCAGGAGCATCTCGGTGCTGGCCGTGGCCCCGGCGTGCCGGCAGACCGGGGCCAGCTCTGCGGCACGCGAGCACACTGCACCACGTGCCAGCTTGTGCAACACGCTGGCCTCCGCTGAAGCCCCGGCAGCAGAGCTGCCTCTCAAGGCTGACATCCAGTGCCTACCGTGCCAATTAAAAAGAAGCTAAAAATAGCGGAGAAAAAGGAAGAAATAAAACCACCACACATTTGTATTATAAAAGCAGCTCTGGAATCAAAACTGCTGGACCGAGACGTTACTGACAGAAAGAGAAATTCCTGCAAAGTACAATCAGGTCAACAAGATGACACCTATCAAGGCTGGAAAGCTCATTAGTCTCATTCAGGCTGCTGAGCAAAGTTAATTGTGGACCGTGGTAAGGTGAGCTTTGCCCCTACACCCTCCCGGCTGCCAGTGAGGAGATCAGCTACAGGACATCTTAGGTGATGCCCATTGATTCACCAGCTCCTTGGCCAAGCACTCAAGACTGCCCAACTTGTCCAAGCAGCTGAAAAACAAGACCACCTAATTTCCGAGGAACGGGAAAGATTTTTGTTTGGTTTACGTGATTTAATGCCCTTCAGCTGCTCATTTTGTGCTGCCTCCAACACCAGTGCCTGCATCCAACCATCACCCCCCCATGCTCTGCTTACCTGCTCCCTCTCAGACCAACCGAAAAGAGGTCTTACACTATCTACAGCTGAAGTTATAAAGTGAAAACCTCATTTTTTTTCTCCAGGCGTTTCAGCCCAGGGTCTTTCCCCCTGTTGCCAAAAGGTTTTTCTTAGGCACAGAGCTAAAAGCTCTTGCACAGACTCGGGAGTCTGGATTCACGACACCAATTCTATCACGGATGGCACCTCGTGCAACTGGGACAGCCACAGAAGGAGACGATGACTACAGCCTCTCCGTGTGAGATGCTGAACAGTCGACAGAGCACCAGGAAAACCACCCTCGGGAATTCCCGGTCCACTTTGTGCACGCCCTGACTGCAAAACCAGCCCGAGACGTGCATCTGCCTGCCAGACCCACCCACGTGAGGCCCTTGCCTTGACCAAGGTCACGCCACTCAAAGCCAATTTGGGCACCGCCGGATGAACCGCGGTGCCGGCAGCACGCACAGCCCCGGCCCCCGACATGGCATACCCCTGTGCCCTTCCCCGCAGCAGGAGGAGCTTCAAAGGAATACACAGCCAGTTGGTGGGTCTGCTGGGACGCATGCTTTTGGGGTCAAGCCAACGTTTTACTTAAGCTATGAAATAATTCCGACAGCTGCTGAGAGTCGGTTCCCTCCGCTCTGTTAGTCCGGCTGGCAGCAGCCTCGTCCTGTGGAAGCAGTGGGCTGGGAACAAGACAAGGGCTCCTTGTGCGCTGTTTGCGTCTCGGAGCGGACGGATTTGTCCTGTGTTCACCCAGGGACGGCACAGCCCGCGGACACTCCTCCTGTCCTTAAAGAGCCTTTCATCAGCAGGGTCCTGCCCTGGACTAAGCTTGTGTTGGAATGGGTGGGGAGGTAGAGGGAACGAACGCAGCTCTCAGCTCCTTAGGACATACGAGGGAAATAACGACACGTCCCCAAGCCACGGGAGCGTGCCAGCGTGCGCCTCTGCACAGAGCCTCAGCAGCAGAGCCCATGGGCCGTGAGCAGCTGCGCACATCTGCTGAGCGGGGTGTCCTGTGCAGCAGGGACACCCAAGGCGGGCAAGAAGGACGGTCATAGGATCACAGAACGGTTTGAGCTGGGAGGGACCTCTGAAGATCATCTAGACCAACACCCTGTCATGGGCAGGGACCCCTGCCACCAGACCAGGTTGCTCAAAGCTCCGTCCAACCTGGACTTGAACCCTGCAAGGGAGGGGGCAGGCACAGCTTCTCTGGGCAGCATGTGCCAGTGCCTCACCACCCTCAGAGTAAAGAATTTCTTCCTTATATCTAGTCTGAATCTATGCTCTTTCAGCCATTACCCCCTGTCCTGTCACTACATGCCCTTGTAAACCCTCTGGCTTTCTCGTAGGCCCCCTTCAAGGACTGAAAGGCTGTGATAACGTGTCCCCGGAGCCTTCTCTTCTCCAGGCTGAACAGCCCCAGCTCCCTCAGCCTTTCCTCACAGGAGAGGTGCTCCAGCCCTCTGATCTTTTTTTTTCAGAGGGGTTCCAGCCCTCAGATCATTGCTGCGGTCTCCTCTGGATCCGCTCCAACAGATCCAGCTCTGTCCTGTGCTGAGGGCTGCAGAGCTGGACACAGGACTCCCGGGGGGGTCTCAGCAGAGCAGAGGGGCAGAATCCCCTCCCTCGCCCTGTGCCCACGCTGCTGGGGATGCAGCCCAGGGCATGGTTGGCGTTCTGGGCTGCCAGCGCACATTGCCAGGTCACGTTGAGCTTCTCCTCAACCAGCACCCCCAGGTCCTTCTCCTCAGGGCTGCTCTCAATCCATTCTGAGCCCAGCCTGTATTTGTGCTTGGGATTGCCCCAACCCATCTGCAGGACCTTGCACTTGTCCTTGTTGAACCTCATGAGGTTCGCACGGGCCCCCTCCTCCAGCCTGTCACGGTCCCCCAGGATGGCATCCCATCCCTCAAGTAAATCAACTGCACCGCTCTGCTTGTGGTCACCTGCAAAGCTGCTGAGGGTGCGCTCCATCCCACTGTCTACGTCTTCGTCCTTCCCTTCCTCTCTTCCTGTAGGAATTACTTTTCCTATTCATAAGAAGCCAGCTTCTGAAACCAAACAAATAACAAGATCCTCTGCTGTTTCTTCTCAGGGCTTCCCAGTATCAAATAAGGCAGCTGAAGCACATATTTATGAGATTTCTGGTAAGGAGAAAAGACCAATGTCTGCAAAGAGTTTACTCAGGATTTGCTAGCCAGTTGCCATCTGTCTGCAGCTGAACTGATCCAACCCCCCATGCACCCAGCTCCCAGTGGTCTCCTTTCCCATCCCATGGTCCTGCCCTCTCCACAACCAGTCACTTGCAAGCCCATGAAGTGCTCGGCTTAAGGACTTAAGGACCTTGATATAATTCTTGGAGGAGGACGCAGATGTTCAGGGCACAAGCTGCCCTGGGCAGTGTTTCTCCACCGGACCGACCCGTCAGACCCTCATCCAGCACAATCCTGGCCCCTAGAAAGAGCCACTCTTCAAGGGAAACCCAAAGACCAGCTTCCTACGCGACTCAGGATCCAAGAACCAGCTTATCTTGACTCACCTAGAAACATGCCCTGTTGCAAGTGGGACCTCACAACATCCAACCGTCATGCAGGATCATTATTTCAGGCATGCAAATTCGAACCACCCCAGGCTTACTGCAGACTGAGAAGGGGCTGGGACCACTTAGAAGGTGGCAAGATACTTTTACGCCTGCCACATGCCTCGCCAAAGGTTGGCATTTTGAGATCTGCAGTTAAATTTAACCTCCACCACAAAGCAGAAAGCAGCGATGGGGAAAGGACCAGCTGCAGAACAGACAATAATCAATACACATGCACCGTGCGGACAGCCTTGGGAGGACCAGGAGAGCTTCCACCTCTGCTAGGGGAGGAACAAGGACCAGCCTCGTAGCAGAGCACAGAAGGAAGAGACACCAGCACAGGCAAACCACAGGAGGAGGAAATCCACACAACTTCAGGACTTACCTCCACCCACTTCCCGTTGACTTCCATGAAGAGGACGCAGAAAGGGTCGGATTTGGAAGTGACATCCCTGTCCAGAAGGTTCTGGCCACAGACGGACAACTCAACTTTGCAGACGCAGTACTGGGAGCCAATGGGTCCTGCCGGCGTGGGAGTCATGGTGTACGCCATGGGCTCCAGCAGCAGCAGCTCCAGGCAGTCTGTGGGACATGAGAACAGAGAGGAACCTCAGTGCAAGTGGAAAGACAGAAAAACGCTCTGTTGGCAACAGTGGGTTGGGCAGGGACAGAGGGGCCACATCCAGAGCCTCAGGCTCCACGTTACACAAAATAAGTTACGAGGGTTTCCTGGCCCCAGAGCATCTGCCCTGCCCCGTCACCATCCCCACATGGCCACCACACTAGGTAGACGTCCTGGGTGGGAGCCCAGCAAAGCACCCACAACCTGCCTTGGTTTTGCTCCACAAACAACTGATTTTCAAGGTATTGTCTTCTACTCACCCCCCACCCCCACCCCGAGGGAGTCTGGGGTCCCCAGCCTCTTCTTCCAGTACATTGGGATTTTTTTGTGGGGAGGAACCACACATCCACACCATTTTTCAGCACAAAACCTGGGCATCGCCTGGCTGGTCCCAAACCATGGACCCAAGCCACAAGGGCCAAACTTGAGCCCTGCCAGCCACAGAGTCGCAGGGAAGGGGGTGAGCCCATGAGGCTGGCTGGGGTGGAGGGCAGCTCCAGCCCTGAGCTCTGCTTCAGCCCTGTCCCCACCCAACTCACCGGGCCAGCGGCAAGCAGCAGTTAAGAAGCAGCATCAGTCGGTTCACAGAGGAGCAAGGCAAACGTGACAACCCCCGCATGGCCTGGTGCACAGGATGATTTACAGGGCCCCAGTAAAAACCCCTTTGCGATAAGAAGAGCTTACCAAAAGTCCACTGCCAAAGCTATTTTGCAGAAATAAGTGTGTTTTACACCATTATTAGTGCAAAACCCTGTCCCACATGACACTTTTGCCTTTGAATGTGCAGTTTAGTCAGCAAAAACCACCAAAGATCTTCAGCAGAGAAGAGGAAAGGGGGCAAAAAATAGAGAAGAAAAAGCATTTCAGATTAATCTATACTAATAAACCTTTGTGGCTGGGGTTGCTGGTGGAAAGAGAGCTCTTTTCAGCAGTTGCTTCAATACCTTTTGCCCTCTCTTTTCAAGAGCGGCTCCTGGCTCATCCACTTTATCTGCAAACCCCGAGCATCACCTTCCTCCACCTTCATAAGCCATCTGCTGCTGTTTGGTACTGAAGCCTCCCTTAATATGATTTGTTTGCTTCACACGGGCATAAGTATTTACCAGCTGCCCTCTTCACCGGCAGCTCAGCCTCCATGCTGGGATGGGGATGGAGGAGAGGGACGCGGCAATCCCAGTACGGCTATGGGAGAGGGAGCTCCGGGCTCGCGGCTGGCTGCCCCGAGTGCTCAGCCCCAGCTGCAATGGACACAGAGTGGAAAACAGCACCTGCTTCCGAGGCTCTAAGCCCTCCTGTACCACCTGCCCAGATCTCTGCTCGGCACTAACTCAACCGAAACAAGCCTGATTTAAACCCCCAACAGTAAACGCAAGCTCTCCATCGTAGCCCACTGCTCAGGGTGAGAGGAGTGCAATCATTTCAGCTTCACGGGAACCCAGAAACATCTCCAGAAGAAAATCCCCATCTTCCACAACTTCGAGGAGAAACACGTGCAGAAGCAAAAGTCCCCACAGCTTCTCCACCGCAAAGCCCCTGTGGCCGCTGGGGCAACGGCTCCGAAACGCCCAGCCCCGCCGGAGCTGCCTCTGCTCTTCTCCAGCCCCTGCTGCCAGTCGCAGCTAAAACAAAGATTTTTTTTTTTTTTTTTTTTTTTAACCCACACGTCCTGTAACCGA